TGGGTTCCACAGGCCGTGTCGGTTCGAACCGGACTCGCTCGGGGTTCGACTCGAGAATCGGTACAGGCCGTGCCGGTTCCAGCACAAAATCGGGAACTGCCCGGGGTTCCAAAGCAGATCCGTTGGTTCCCTCCCGGTTCTAGCGGTTCCCTCCCGGTTCTAGTTGGTTCCCGGCCCGGTTCTAGCCTTCACACGTGTGTACGCGTCACGCGTGCCACACACACCACTTACGCATGTGTGTACGAGTCACACGAGCCGTACACACTCCCACACGTGCCACACGCACATGCATGCACGTGTACGTGGGTGCCATACGTGCGACACACACCACTCCCACCTGTGCCACACGTGCGACACGCACATACACGTATGTGTCACATATGTGACACCACTCCCACATGTACAACGCGTGCAACACACGCATGCACGTGTGCATGTACACTGATGCCCTAGTGTTTTCACATTTGCATTAATGTTCTAATTACATAGTTATTTATATAGTATATTTGAGTACTCATCCTTCGATGTGGGATAATTCCCAAACATCATCAAATGAAAACATAATGTGAATATATGCTATTAGTAGGCAATTTTAAACATATATGTTAGGAGGCATGATGGTTATCTCTAATGTTATTTGTTTTGACATCGAACTTTTGAGCTAATTTTTGTTCCCCCTTGGGGCATATAATACATTGAAGTGTTTTTTCCAAAATTTGTACGTATTTTATTAATTTTTACATTGATTAACCAAATCTTTTATTTTATTTATTAATTTTTACATTATAAATCATGTAGTGTACTATTTTTCTTACAGTGGTCAATAATAGATTTTAAATTAGATAATATTATAAAATATTTTTAATTTGTTATTATTTATGTTATAAAATAATTACAAAATGTAAACTAATAATTATAATTTCAGTATGTAATATTATAATTAGTTAGGTTGTAATAATTTTGGGTTTTTTTAGTGGATTAGGTTTTTTGTCAAACGAGATTTTAATGGCCATTCTTTCATTGATTTATTCTATTCTTTATTATAGTCCATGTATAATTATATATTTTATCCATGATAATGTTATGATTTTTTTTTTATGTGATGCAAATTTAATACTTAAGTTTATACAGGGAAAGAACATCTCAATATTTACAAATTGATGAAAAAACTTAAAGCTAATAATGTAGTACCATCATTTCTTATTGGATTTCTAAAAAACAGTATTTATAATGAATTTTAATAATTCTTTCAGATTTTTTTGAAGCTTTAATCCGACTGATTCAGCCAATTCCCGATCCAGATCGCCGATTCGTCGATCCGAATCGGTTTTTGAGGTGCCTGATCCGGGTCCCCGATCTGCTTTTTAATCATTGGTTGAGTGTGATTGGGCAGCCATTGTACCGCTATTCTATCTACATATACGAGATTTAAAAACATACATCAGTGACTCGGATCGCCCATCCAGATTGGCAATGGGCCAAGGAACTGGCCAATAAAAATTTAACTTACTTTGTCCATCTAGATTGGCAATCGGCCGAGGAACATGCCAATAAAAATTTAAACAAAATTAGAGAACAAAAAATAAAAATATTAAAAAATGATACAGAATAACAGAATCTGGTTATCGATATTTTAGTAGAAATGTAGTATCTCCTCCGGTTCCCGATCATAATTGGCTTGTTCTGTTCTTGTATACTTTGTCTTTTTCTAACACCGCACATATGAGAGAGAGAGCATTGGCCATTTCAATCACAGAACATGGCTAGAGAGAGAGAGAGCATTAGCCATTCCAAACACACAACATGGCTTGATAATTTCTTTTAAACGCACATATTCTTTTGATTTAGGTAATGTAGGCTAGTTAAGGTATGCTGGATCCACTAATTTCTATAAGAATGGTGTGGTTATGTGGCATGTAATATTGATTTTGACTTTTTTTTATTCGATAGCCTCCCAATATTCCTCTTATTTGATGGTACTGGCGCCCTATTTTATGGGCTAGCACTTCCTCAAAAACTAGACCCAAATTTAAAATATTTGGAATTAAATTTTAGAAAATTTCATGTAGAACCCTAATTCTTTATATTATTTCATGGTGGATACTCTTTCCGTTTTTCTTTCCAACAGGTATAAAGAAACCTTTATAGATTTTATAGCACCCCCTCATCTCCTATCTCCTTCTTTTATTGACTTTTGACCATAAAAATTAACCTCAACAAATCGTTTTATATCATTTCAATCCCAAAAATTATTTAACTCTATTTTCCGTTTGTACCCATTAAAAACGTTTTTGGGTTGAAATGATATAAAAAGATTTTTAGGGTTAATTTTTATGATCAAAAGTCAATAAAAAGGGGAGATAAAAAATGAGGGGGTATGGTGAAATCTTTAGGGGTTTTTTTATGCCGCTTGACAGAAAAACGGGATGAGGGTCTATTATGAAATAATATGAAGAATTAGGGCTCTATACGAAATTTTTCCTTAAATTTTTATATTGAATTGTCCAAGACAATCAATGTGGTGCTCAAATCAACTATCTTTATTTTTAGAAAATTTCACCCAAGTAGCTTAACAAAACAAAACGAGGGATTTTAAATAAAGGAAAAAGTTTATATAGAGTCGAGGCTCTAAACAATCAAATTAGAGTCCACCTCAAAAATTTCACTAGAAAAGATTGTTTTGATGCTCAAATATCTTCAAATTGATCATCTCAACATCCAGATGTATGAACATGAGAAAAAAAATACATCTCAAATTTTGGAAATAGTACATCTTGTAACGTATTTTCGGACCGTCAATTTTCAAGATTTTCAAGTTTTTATAGATCTGTTCGATCTACACTATTTTTTAAGCTTTAAATTTTATAATCAAAGATGAAAATATATTTTAAGGCTATCACAAAAATTTCTAATATTGAAACCACATATCTCGATACTATTTGAAGGTAGGCTTTATTTTGATTGTTTAGAGCCTCGGCTCTATACAAACTGCGCGCCCTTAAGTGAAACGCGGGTAGTTTCCACATTTGGTT